GGGAATTGTTTTTTACATATCAGCTCACAAACAACATTGTAAGGAAGGGAATTTTCCTTATTGACACCAAATGGCACTCAAATTACAACTCTTGTAATAATGCACACAATAAAACAATAACTTAAAGTATTTTCTGTGGTTTTGACAACATCATACTATGTATTTACATGTATGTATACATGTAGACAACCTCATCATTGTTATAGAATACATTATAATATGTGTTTGAATGACAGGAGTGCTTGAATGACCCCTAATTTGGTGGAAATTGGTGACATATTGTTTTATAATTCAAATTCTACATTTTTCCTAAATTTCTTTAATTTGTGGTTTTATATTAGCTGCCAGACTGTCAAAGCTTTAATTTGGCACTGGACTACTGTTACACTAAAGTGTACATGCTTGATATGTAATTAGTTCGAAATAACGTTGAAAATGTAGCCTAATTTTGGATGAACAAAAGTTAAAAGTAGATTAATAATGTAATTTTTACATTACTTGAGTGAGCAGGTTAAGTAAAGTGTTGGGCAGCTGTGCAATGATTTGTGAAGACTGCACTTACAAATTATGTGAAGAGAGGGTTATTTTAGTCCTCTCCACAGGGTTGTGCAGTAGTGTACTGTGACTGTGAACCATGGTTGTGAATCGTATATTGATGTGCATCTTACCCCGAGGTAAAACTTCTCAGGCATCGAGTCATCTCAGTCTGTATACAAATGCCATTGCTTACATTGTTTCGTGTCCCTCATTTGGCAGATGCTAAGCTCAAACCATACCTGTCAGACTTTTTCTGGCACTGAAACACCGTGGCGTTGGCCGGTAACGTTGGTAAACTTCTTGTGAGTTTGACCTGACAAACTCTACTCGGGGCAATATCTTCAGCAACAAGCCTTCTCATTGGCTGAAACGTCTTAACCAATCGTGTTGCTTAATATACGCAGGCAGACCTGTGACATTCACTGTTCTCATGTCTGTGTCAACTGTATAGCTATCTAAAAATGAACATTATACGGTCATCTATTTCCCGACTGGGTCGGATAAACAATTTCACCAGGTAACAAAGTCTACGCATGTCCATGTTAGACAAACGGCAAAAGCAGTGTTTGTTTACAGTGCTAATATTGTCTAGCTAGCTTAGCAGTGTGTTAGCAGCGTGGCTAGTTAAGGATGCAGGTAGCCAGCTAGCTACTGATTGAAGAATATATTTAGTAAGGTGAAGGCTATTTCAATTATAGCTCAATCATAGCTAATTAATATATCATTAATGACTTTTGATTTACATCTGTATGCAGTGTTTACTCGTATTATTCCAGTAGCAGTAACAGTTACAGTTCTGATGTGTTTTCAATCTGTTGTTTTAATCTATTTCATTATTGTGTAAACAGTTGACACGAATGCTTTGGATCCGTGCATGAGAACAAATATAAAAAGCAGCACTCTAGATTATACAACGAACTTGGTAATAAAGAATGAGAATCAGTTTTAATACCAAGTAGGTTTACACATACAAATTTGCTTTGGTATAAGTGGTGCATGCAGAGACCCAGGAAGAAGAATACAAAATGATTTGTTTATAACATTTGTGAACATTTGTCCACAGCATCCCTGCAGGAAACCTTGCAATACCTGGCAACTCTCGCCTTAGACTATTCAGCAGCTGGATGTTGCCCACAGCAGCTGCAAGACCTACTATTTACAGATGTGGGCTGCTTTCTTCACAAGCTGAGGGCTCAGGAATGTTCCAACAGCTTCCATGGCAATACCAGCAGATTCGGACAAAGAAGAGAGGTACAGAGTATCAGCCCAAGAACATTAAACGCAAGAGGACCCACGGCTGGATCAAGAGGATCAGCACACAAAGCGGCATCGAGGTGATTCTGAGGCGCATGTTGAAGGGGCGGCAGTCACTCACACACTGAAGGACCTTGTCGGAAAACCTGCCAGTCTTTGAGAAACAGACATTGGCTCAGAAAAGTTGCCATTGCTCAGGGTGCTCAGCAAAGACCCTGTGTAACGGTGATACTGGGTGTGGGTTGTGTTTTGCTTTTTTGCACTCCATTAATCATGGGTGGGGAGTAAAAGCTGGCCTTTGACAAATAATTTGCATTTGGTAAAAAGAAGACTGGTAGTTTCACCCAGTCTTTTTTTATCTATAAGGTTGTGTTTGTTACCATTAAATGTTATCAGATGTTTGTTTTTTTGCTTGTGTGAAGTTATTGGAAGACAAAATGATCACTGTCATCTTTTTTCCACTAATGAAAACTAAATTCTTGTTTAATATGAAATAAAAACCACCCCTGAAGAATTTAAATGAATTTGTATTTGTTATTGAAAAATAAATACTTCACAAAGATTGTTTTTTTTAAACTTCCACGTTTGCTGCCATCAATTGTTTGTATACACATTGCAGGTTAATTAACTATAAAAATCAAGCTAAGTGCTTTTAATTTTAGAACGAGTGTCCTTTTGGCTCATCAGGCAGTGTGACCCAGAATACCATTAGTGGTGTTTCATTTTCGAGGCAAAATAGTTGAAAGTCAGACAAGTAAAGAACATGGAGGCATTAACTAATAATGCAATATGCCAGAAATATTTTGGGAAAGTTGCTATCAATAATTTTAGCACATTCATTTTACAACTAATGGCATGCATAGATTTAAAGTACTAATATTAGTTTACTAATTACTGCATTTTATATGAACACTCATAACTAAAATAAGCAGATATTGATATAAGGTGTAATTTGATGACGAAACTGATTAGTAATGCACCATGATGACTAGTCTAGATAGTGAAGTTTAATATCAATAATTTAGAGTTTAACAGTGGGGTTGCTGTGCTGTTGTTAAGCCTTATACACAGGGGTGCACATAACTTTCTCAGTGAGGTACTCAGATGAGTATCTGGAGTCAGTGTTTGGTACTCCAACTTCTGGCTCCACTCAAAGTTATTTGATGAAGCCCTCTGTATCGCGAACGTCAACGGTACCAGTTATGTGCACCCCTAGCTTATACATCAATTCAGTATTTTGACCTACCTACGGTCACCTATCATACCTGATTGATTGATTGATTGAAAAGTTTATTAACAGCTTGTATATTGGGTACAGTACAGTACAGCTCAAAACATACAATTGTTAAGGGGATGCAGACCAGAGAAAGACTTTCGTCTTGTTTACATCAGGGTCCCCCATTTCCAATTCATCATATCATTTAAGACATATAAGACATATTTGACATACAGATGGCTTATTTACAATTTACATACAGGTGGTTTTTTACATACAGATGGCTTATTTACAATTTTCATTTTAGATTTCGTTCTAATACATCCTAACCGGTAAAACCGACATTTAAGACATACTAAGACTACAGATATCCAGAGTTAGTAACAGAGTCTAAAGTGCGAGTATATACA